TCAGCTTCAGGTGTACAGTGCAGTGATCAAGCCTCTTCCCCATCCATGATGCAAGACATGTGACCACCTGACACCCTACAAAATATTCACAATATTATCAATTACATTCCTTGAACTGTCCCCCATGTCCCCATGGCAACACTGCAGCTGCGTATTTATTGCTGTCCAGCCCCCTCCCTCTCTCCCTCATCCCCACCCCCACAACCAACAGCCATCAGCTGGGGGGCATCTCTTTTAAACAAGCTACGCTTTGCACCAGGGCAGCAACTCTGATGTTGGCTTCTGGCTTTGCTCAGAGATCAAGGGACTGTCGTCCCTTGAAATGAAGCAAAGCATTGGGGGAAACCGCTTTCAAATGGGCTCAGTTCAGTTCAACAAGCACGCATTGGGTACCTTATATGCCCGGAGTGGGGAAGGACACAGGGGATAAAAATGATTGATTGACTGATTGATTGATATTGAATAGTTATTTATTTATTGAATATTGAATATTTACTGAGCACTCACTCTGTACCAGGCACTGTTTAGCTCATGTTCTAAAGAAAGTCAAACTCTAGTTGGGGAGACAGAAACCTGAAAACAAGTACAATACCATACATGCTTGTGGAGATAGGCACAGGTTATGAGAGCTCGGAGGAGAGAATTCCCAGTGGAGGTGACACTGAGCTATCTCTTTAACATGGTGTAAGATTTCACCAAAGCGGTAAGTGGGTCCCGCATGAAAGAAGGCAGGGAGGCGAGAAGCAGCCTGCTCTCCTGGGAGCAATCTGGAGAGGTTACGTCTGCTTTAGCATAAAGATTAAGGCAGGAGTGGTGGGGTGTGATTGGGGGCCATGTTTGAGATGCTCATGCTTGTGTGAGGGGCCATGAGGAGCCACTGGAGAGTCACATGCAGTGTCACTTTTAAGATACTGGGGGCTGGGAGACCAGCCAGGAAGGAGGCTATTGAGATGGTCCGGCTCCCTGTTTTCCAACCTGGATTCAACTCTACCTAGAAATTAGAGACAATGGAGTAAATAAGAATCAACTGCCAGCAATTTGGAAGTTCTCCTAAATTTTGAAGACTTTGCTCAATGTTCTACCCTAAGTCAGGTGAATCTTGCAACAGGTGTGCGTAGTATTTGTAGGGCACGTGAACTAAGGAATTTTACGTTCTGCATATAGGTTGCTCCAAAACTAGCTGATGAGCCAAAGCAGAAGGTGGCTCTTATGGGAAATAAATAGCAATTGAGCTACTTCTTTTATTCCCGTTACTCTCATGCAACATTATCACTTCACTCTCTCTGTATACTGAGATATTATTAATGTCAGATGAAAAAAACTGAGGCTCAGAAATTCCCCACAGTTCACAGACAGTAAGTAGGAAAGCTGGGTTTGAGGGCAGGCCCTCCTGCACATGTTTCTTTTTGGCCACCGATGCCTTCCTCCCTTTCACAGCACTCACCTCTTCCACACAGCAGCTTCGGTCACGTTTCAGCATCTTAGGAAGCTTTTCAGATGGCAAAGGATGGCCCAGAAAGAAAAACGGCTTACCCAATGTTACACGACACGTTAGCAACTGACCCAGAATCACAGATCAGCTCTTACAAAGCCCATGAGCTTAAGATGGTAGACCCAGATCTCCTCTTTGATTACCGAAAGCCTACAAAAGTATCCACAAAGCCAACTGGTCAGCTGTCATCCACCGAGCAACTTCCTGGTGGGTGTTGACTCAGCCCAGATCCCCACAGTCCCTGGCTACTGTGTGGGGCAACGGAAAGGATGTGAGTTTGGTGGCCGTGAACATGGGTTCAAATCCTGCTCTAATCCTACTGTGTGACCTTGGACATGATACTCAGTCTCTCTGAAACTTAGCTTTCCTTATCTGGAAAGTGTGGGTGGTATCCGTTTCACAGAAGGTCAAGAAAATATAAAAGTGAGCCAAAGCAAGGCAGGAGTTAGGTCCTCTGTTATCTTTGCTTCTTCTCTGTGGAACTTAGGAAGGTCTGTTCAAACAGGTTTTGTTTTTGTTTTTTTGAAAATCCCTCCCACTGCAGGGTCACAGTGTTACCTGCTTTCTTCCTATTCAAATTTCCAAAGCTTTTCGAGACCCTGATCCCATGTTGGGAAGGGAAGTACTTTTCTTTTTCCTTAAGATCCTCTAACATCTTTCCAGCACAAAGTTTCAGAAAGTCTTTTTTTAAATTTTATTTTATTTTTTATTGTACTGAGAAATAAACAATCTGGGTCCTGCCCCGTGGCAGCATCAAGTTAATTTTTGTACAGAGGACCAGGAACCCATCCTTAGGATGAATCAGAGTATGTGTCTGTGAACCTCTGAAAGCTCTTCAAAGCCAGCTGAACACAGATGGAAGCAATGATCCCCCTGTTTTACTGAGCAGCTGCTGTGTTCCAAGCATTTAACCTTGACTAACCTATGGGTAGTAGTAGTATGTTTCCGTTAGAAGTGAGGAAGCTAAAGTTCAACCACAGAGCCTATAATGATGACACCAGGACTCATTTCCAGCCCTGCCTGAATCCAGAAACCAGCAAAGGGGTCCGCTGAGCAGCCCAAACCCATGCTCTTGGTGAGGCTCTTTCAGTTCCTACAGAGAGAAGCCCCTCACACTGTCCCTCTGAGCCTACATCTTCTTAGTTTGCACATCTGTTTAATAAGCTCTTGCATCCTCAGATTATTGTACATTAGGAGGTGGACATGGAAATGCCCCAGAAGCAGTGAAAAATGACCATGGGCAGGGAACAAAAAACAGGACCACTCTGCAAAACTGACACAGGGACTCAAGAAACCAGAGGGCTACATGCTGCAGCCCAGGTAGCCCCTCACAGACGTGGCTGTTCATTCATTGTTCCTGGCTCACCCCCAAAAATGTAGCATTGGGTTCCAAGTCTTCAAGTTGAAAGAGCCTGCTAGCTTCCATTAAATGAGCCAGGACCGGCTCTGTGCCTGTCACTATACAAAAACTATCTGTGGCCTCACAACATGGCAATCGTAGTCTCCCCATTTTGCGGATATGGAAACTGAGGTCAGCAGACGCTGAGTGAGTTGCCCCAGGCCACAAGGCCAGCAAGTGGGGCAGGCAGAATTTGAACCCAGTTCAGCCAACCCTAAGCCAACATTCATTCCGCTATACCACACCACGTCCCTAGCAGAAAGTTGTGCATGATATATTTTGGTGACATTTCCATGGGAAAAAAAAAAATTTAAATAAATGTCACTGCTCAAAGGGGCCATCCTTGGTGTCTGAAAAATGTCTGGCTGCTTTTCTTCCCAAAGCTCTGGATCACTGAAGGTGGGTACACACTCAGCTTCTGCAGTTATTTTCAGACTGTTGCTTGGGCATTTGCCAAGACGGAGATGAGACTAGCCAAGGCCACCTCCCAAGGCTTTCAGGACAACTTGCAATGAGAGCAGTGGCACTATCACCATAGATTTCGGTGACCTTGACTCTCTTCCACCTTGAGCTTGGGGCGCTAGGATGCCCATATGGGAGGCAGTTGACCCAATAGGTCTTTCAACAGATATTTATTGAGTACATGCTCTATCTCAGAGACTGAGCTAAGCAGGATATAGCAGGAAACAGCATGGACACACACCTGTGATCTTGAGGCTTATCATCCACTAAGTGTGCCTGTGAATGGGGCAGGGAGATAGGGCATTAAGCAGGTAAGCGAACAAGATCATGAAACTGGCCAAGCAAGACAATATGCAGCCAGTAGGGACAGGGGCTGTATTGGTGGAGAGGAGAGTAGACTGGCTGGAGAGTCACGCACAGGTGGGCCTGTGTGGAGTCCTGCAGGTCGGAGGGAGCAGGAGCATCGAGAAAACAGCAAAGGCACGCGAGGACCCCGGGATACAAAGAGCTCAGTAGACGCGCTGAGTCAAGGATGCCTGGAATCGTATTTTATAGGTGATCGTGCCTTTAATTCCATTGTCTCATCTGATTGTCGTTGACCCTGTGAGGAAGCTAGGCGGGAAATACGGTCTCCCTTGCAGAGGAGGCAGCTGAAGTCTAAGATGTTCAATGACTGGTCCAGGGTCTCAGAGCTCGTTAACGTGTAGAGCCCTTGCTTCCTGCCTCTGAGTTCATTGCTTCCCCGGGAGGTTCTGAGTTCGCCATGCCTGGGGTGTCAGGTGACGGCTGGCTGCCCTTTTGGTGACGATACTGTGGCGTGAACCTCTATCTA